ACACTGGTATAAGAGTTTGTATGTGTATAAATATAAAATCTATAATACATATCTATACAATTAAATACAAGTATTTATTTAAAATTTTGATCAGAGAGAGCCTACACAAAACCTTTTTCCTAATAGCTTGATAGCATAATTAAAAAAAAAAAATAGGGGGCTGGGGTTATGGCTCAGTGGTAGGTAGAGTGCTCACCTAGCATATGTGAGGCACTGGGTTCGAGCCTCAGTACCACATATAAAGATAAATAAATAAAGGTATTGTCCATCTACAACTAATAAATTAAAAAAAATAGTTTGGAGAAATACAGTATATGAGAGCTACTTTAGGCTTCTAAAAAGGCCTTTGATTTTTTCATTTTAAAAAGTATAACTGGGCACAATGGCACACACCTGTAATCCCAGCAAGCTCAAGAGACTAAGGTAGGAGAATCACAAGTTCAGAGGCAAGCCTCAGCAACTTTAGCAAGGTCCTAAGCAACTCTGTGAAATCTTGACTCAAAAAACTAAAAGACTGGGGATGTAGCTCAGTGGTTCAATCTGAAGTGCTAAAAAAAAAAAAAAAGAAAAGAAAAAAGAAATGTCAAGTGATTTAACAATACTATTTGAAGGACTGTATTTGAACCATATACATTTCTACATTTGCATCAAATCTACTTGTATTTCATTTTTCCCTCAACTTATATTAATCTGTTTGATTGAAGATTTACCTCATTACTGTTATGGTTTAGATGTGAGGTTTCCAGGAAAAGCCCATGTGTGAGACAATGCAAGAAAGTTTAGAGCTGAAAGGATTGGGTTAAGAGAGCATTAACCTAATAGGTGCATTAATCCCCTGGGTGGGGATTAATTGGGTGGTAACTGAAGGCAGGCTAGGTGTGGCTGGAGGAGGTGAGTCCCTGGGAGTACCTTTAAGGTATATATTTTGTCCTTATTGAATAGAGTTCTCTCCACTTCCCGATGCCAAGTTCCCAGTCACTTTCCTTCACCACAAGGTCAGCCAGGAAGTTCTTTCTGCCTTTGCCTCAGATTCTGAGTAACAGCATCAGTCATCTATGGACTGAGCCCTCTGAAACTATGACCACCCCAAATAAACTTTTCCTCCTTAAAATTGTCCTTGTCAGGTCTTGGGCTGGGGATGTGGCTCAAGCGGTAGCGCGCTCGCCTGGCATGCATGTGGCCCGGGTTCGATCCTCAGTACCACATACAAACAAAGATGTTGTGTCCGCCAAAAACTAAAGAATAAATATTTTTTAAAAATTCTTTTAAAAAAATTGTTCTTGTCAGGTCTTTTGGTAACAGCAGCAAAAAAAAAAGCTGACTAAAATAATTACCTAAGAATCCATAAATTTCATCAAGATGGAATAACATTTCTGATAAGTATCTAAGTGCCCCTTAATATGTACATTTAGCAAAGAAAAATAACTTTATAAGAAAAGATATTTTACAAAATGAAGAATTCCAGAGACTGTTTTAGCTTTCAAGAAACTCTGAAAACCAGGGGAGCTGCCCTGTGACTCACCTGCCCTTTGCACCATGTACTGATACACCTGGGGTTCGGAACTCTACCACCGCTGATTCACTGTCTCACCAGCTCTTCAGTGGTCTCCCCTGGTGCCTTACTTACTTGATATCCATGAATCACCCCAGTCTTAATTTGCTGCTTTCTCATGCCTTTTCTCAGGTCTTATCTCTTAGCACTACTGATCTTAACCATGCCTCAGTTCTTCCAGGACAAATCAATATGTTTTTTCCATAAAATGACTGGTAAAAACACACCACTTGTCTTTGTTCATCTTTACAAAGCCCCTCACACACTCTCTAGCAACCAATAGGTGCTCAGTAAAAGATTGGTGAAGTAAGCTTTGTTTCAAAACTTATAAGCAGGATACCACAAACGTGATGGGACACCACTTCAAGATTAGTTTCAAACAAAGTAACTTCCACATTGCTAGTCCTTTTCCTGTTCCCTACTCTTTCTCTCAGTACTATCATTAGCTCCAAGGCAAGTCCATTGCCATTTTATGAGATACCCTATGAAAAGACCCACAGGGTAGTAAACTGATGCCTCCCACCAATAGCCCTTCCTTTTTCTACCATACAAAGACAAAGAAGTAACAGTGAATTTGTTTGACAAAGCTAATCCCTTCATACTGGAAATGACTAAGAAAATACACAACAATTTCACAAAATCTACTAAGCTCAGAAAATAATTTAGCCCTATAAAAATCTAACATGCTCAAATTATTAACCATCTAAATTACCTTTAACTAAGTAAACAACTTAGACAATCTTGGAAAGATTATGAAGAATAAATGATAATAATTCAATTATCATTACTAAAAAGTAGTAATTTTATTCTTTGAGAAAGGAGAGAGAAAGGAAAACGATAATAATGTTAACATGATGAATTATCAACTCAATATGATAAAATGGTAGTAAGAGTAATACTTTCGATAATCCATCGACAACAAAACATATTTATATGCTTCATATACTTCCAAAAGTGAAAGCATTGCAAGATAGGATTACATACAGTCTATAGTTCTAGAAACAAATTAACTGAATTGGTCTATTTAAAAGTGACAGCCAAAGATTAATAAGCTCATGGCCTCAGAGGCTTCAATTCCTGGATTCAGATTCTAGCTTTACTTCTTGGTATCTTTGTGACTTTGAACAAGTTACTTACCTTCTCTGTGTCTCAGTTTCCTCATCTCAAAAATAAAGGCAATAATGGTATTTGCTTCAAAGAGGGTTTTTTGGATTTTTTGAGGAGTAAATGAGTTAACACATGTGAAACCCATCAAAAAATAAAATAAAAGTGAAAGCCATGATTTTGGCATCAATGGAACTGAGCTCTAACCAAAATGACTTAACCACAATAAGAAAGGAATATCTCAGGAAGCAGGAATTGACTAGTGCAGAGGCATTAAATGTAAGACTGAAGAGCTAAAATCTGATCTAACAGACTATTTAAAAATTTCTGTAAATTTGTTAACTGAGAAAACACTCTCAAAGTGATAATCATGATGGATCAAAGAGGAATAATTTGGAGACAGTAATCTAGGCACAAGATAATAAATACCTAGATTAAAACAGAACAAGCAGGGCTGGGGTTGTGGCTCAGTGGTAKAGCACTTGCCTACCATGTGTGAGACACTGGGTTCAATTCTCAGCACAGCACATAAGCAAATGAATAAAATAAAGGTCCATCAACAATTAAAGACATTTTTTAAAAAGCAGAACAAGCAAACAACTAAAGCAGATAAGAGTTAGTAGCAAAAACCGAAAAAGCCATAAGCTTTAAGGACATAACATCTTCTAACAGGGGTTGGAATACAAGCAAAATTTAGCCTGCTGTCTGCTTTTGCATATGAAATTCTACTGGAATGCCCTCCCATGCCCATTGGGTTCTTGTATGGTCTATGACTGCTTCCATACAGTGGCAGACTGAGTAGTTACATTAGAGACCATATGACCCACAAAACATAAAATATTTACTACCATTATTAGTCTCCTTAGAACTGCTATAACAAAGTACCACTAGATGGCTTAAAAATAACAAATACATTTTCTCACAGATTTGGAGACTAAAAATCAWAGTATCATTGGGGCCATGCTCACTCCAAGTCTCTATAGCAGACTCTATTCCATGAATCTTTCTTAGCTGCTGGATTACTTTCTTACCAATAATCCTTGGCATTCCTTGACTTACAGCTGCATAACTCCAATCTCTGTCTCCACTGTCACCTGGCTGTCTTCTCTCCTGTGTGTATCTACAGGTATTCTCCTCTCCTACAAGGACACCAGTCATACTGAGTTAAGGGGCTACTCTACTCCAGTATGTCCTCATCTAACTACTTCAATCATATGATTTTTAAGTAAGGTCACATTCTGAGGTATTCAACATATGTATTTGGAGGACACAGTACAATCTGCGAATTGGCCCTTTATGGAAGAAAAAATCTGCCAAATTGTAATTTGGAAGAATAAAACTTGAGATGAGGTAGGTCCAGAAACGCCACTAAGGAGTGAAAAATTCAAAATAGGAGAGYAGAATTTTGCTTTATATATACTAATTGTATAAAGCAAAAGTAAGAGACTTTTTTTAGAGGTCTCTTACTTTTATGTAAAGCAAAAGTAAGAGACCTGTAAAAATGTCTGGCAGAAAGCAATACAGGAAGATCAGGAATATGGATTGAATCAGAAATGACCTGAAAACAGAGGACCCGTTTCAAAGTAAATGTTTTGAACAGCAGGCCAAACAAGTCAACTGATTTTTTAGAGAATGTAATTACTACATAACAATATTATTAGAGGATATCACATTTATGGAACATGAGACAGTAAGGTAGGAAATAATGTAATTTACTATTATGTAAACTAAAAAGGAAGCATCTCAACACTGAAAAATACAACACAGAGGCGAAGAGGCCTGAAAACAGTGGATTTGGTTAGAATGAGACCACAGTCAAAGAAACAACTTCTATGGAGAATCTGAGGGAAACTAGGTCAAGAGCAAGATGGTAATACTTAAAACTAATGACAACAGATAAGAAGGCATCTTAGATATTCCATCACCAGGGACTCTCAAATGAATGCCAACTACCATTGGACCTCAGTCTAGAATTACGAGAACAGAAAAGCTACCCAGCTGAGCTCAGTAAACCCATAGAACTGGGAAAAATAATATCATTTTAAGACACTATATTTTGAGGTGGTTTGTAAAGCAGCAATATCCAGTCAGAACAGAATATAAGTTTGAGAAACCCAAGAATATAAGACAAATATTTTTAAAACGGGGAAGACTTGTATACAAGTGGGCAGGAAAAAAAGAAAAACTGCATAAATCTATAGAGTAAAATTACAATGTGAAAACAGAAAAGCTAAAAATGTTAAAGATGAAGGAGGTGAGTCACATGAGAAATGAGAGGAAATTTTTAGACTAGAAACACAGTCACTCTGTCATAGAAGGATACGGCAGAAAGCTTTCCACCTACTTCATCACTTTCATCTACTTCAATTCCACCATCTTTGTCATCATCCATTTGTTTATGTATTGTTTGAAGAGCTTCCAGACTAAATCTATCTTCTTCTGTGAAGCATGGTGGAGTCAGTGACATACAGGGATCTGAAATAGAACAAAGGACAATTACTAACGTGCCACACCAAAACACAGGCTATAGTTCTGGAAAAAAAAAAATTTTTTAAACTTCATAGGAAGTCAGACTAAGAACCTTTAAAAACGTCACAGTATTCTTCACATAAAAAAATATAATATGTGAACATATCTCACCAAAATTTAACAATCCAATTGCATTAATATTAGACAACTAATATTAGTCTGGCCTCTCACCATTTTCTTCTTTTTCTGAACTTCAAATTAGTTATCAGTGTAATAAAAATTATACCAGTACAAAATTCAAATTGTCTAAAGTCTTCTATAACTATCTCTTCTCATCCATTATATTCACTAATTATTCATCCCCCCCCACACACACACAAAAAAAAAAAAAAACACAGATCTCCTCACACTTAAAAAAAGAGAGAGAATACAAGGTGCTATTTTTGTGTACCAGTTTAACTGAAATATAAGTCCTAGGAAAGAAATGATTACAAAACAAAAAAGAAATGTAGAACATTCACAAGACTTTTTTTTCATTTTTCTATTTAAGATACTCCAATGACTTTCTACAAATATATATAACCTCTTAGGTTAAATAAGAAAAAAGAAAGAAAATGACTGAATTATTTAAATCATGCTCATGTTTTCATTAATATGCATTTATTTGTTAAACCTCTTCCTATAAAATATGTGTGAATCCTCATATTCAAGTTGTCAAAAACTAACAAGATGGGATCATACAAGGTTTTTCAAAGGCTTAAAATCAGAGTGATGAAAAGTCATTCTGTTGATACAATACTAATAAATATACCAAAACAAGTAYTGCCGAACTTCACTCAGGCCTTATATGGCAGACTGGTAGACTGACAAATTCTAGCAACTTTCCGCTACTATTCTATTACRTCATTAAAATAACATCATTTTAAAATGTCATCAAAACCATATGTATTTCTAGAAACAGTACTGGGCTTAAAGTTTAATGTGGTTAACATAAAAAAGATTGTCACAGCCTGGTTAATTTCCTCATCAACAATTTAAAACCTATTATATCATTCTGTCCTTGTTATGAATTGCCACCAGTTAAATGGCCAAATCAGTTGTCATTCAGTCTTACTTACCTCATCTCTAAAATAAAGTAAGCAGATCAGATGCTATTAAAGTCTACTGCAGTGATGACAGCCTAAGAATATCTAATTTGAAATTTAGAAAAAGAAGAAAATGGTGAGAGGCCATCCCTTGAGACACACAAATAATTTTATTATCTAAAAGACTATTCAAGGACTAAATTGAATAGAAGTGGTGAGAGAGGGCATCCCTGTCTTGTTCCAGATTTTAGAGGGAATGCCTTCAGTTTTTCTCCATTTAGAATGATGCTAGCCTGAGGCTTAGTATATATAGCTTTTACAATGTTGAGGTAAGTTCCTGTTATCCCTAGTTTTTCTAGTGTTTTGAACACAAAGGGATGCTGTACTTTGTTGAATGCTTTTTCTGCATCTATCGAGACGATCATATGGTTCTTATCTTTAAGTCTATTGATGTGGTGAATAACATTTATTGATTTCCGTATATTGAACCAGCCTTGCATC